TGAAAATCCTTTGTAATTGTTAATAATGCTGCTAGTAATAGTGATAAACAAACTTACTTGAGTGATGGACAACAGCCTGCTTTGTTTTATTTAATTTTCATAAGTATGTTTCTTCTAACATCAGATTTTAATTTTGTGTAGAGCTAACATTACATATCTAAACATTTCTTATGTTCCAAATAAATTTCTGAAAAAATCTTATTTGCATTTGAGTTTACACTTATAATACTTACATAGTATTACCTGCCAGTTAGTTTGTTAGTCAGGATTTCAAAGATTTAGAAAAGTGCCTGGTGGGCATGTGCTGCCTACGCAGGTAGCAGGGTTTATCCAGATTTTTGTTCCTCAGAAACTGGTACCGAGAGAGAAATTGCACAGCCCTTAGCTTTTTGAGGTGTGTCAGGGATATAATTGTTTTAAGAATAACATGTATTTGAAAAGGTATGTTGAAATGCTAAATCTTTTGCATTTGGTTTAAGTAGTATTGTTGCAATGTAGAACCTTTGCCAATTTGATTTTTCAAAGTGATGTACTGTGGAGAGTCAGCAGGAAAATCCTCCATTCGGAACTCTGTTGCCCTTACTTTCAGTGGATAGGTGGAATACACACAGAGGCTGTGACGTCTTGGATGCAAGGGTGGCTGTGGTGACCGGGCATAGGAGCCAGGTGGAATGCCCTTAGAATTTGCAGCTCTGCAAACCAGGCTGAGCCTGTGCTGTTTACTGACCCTTCCACATGAAGCTGCCACATATTGTTGGGGCAGAGCGGCCCAAGGAAGGAGGATGAGCACTGGAGCAGGAGTGAGCAATCCTAGAATCTAATTCCATCTGGGATACTACCTAGTTATGTGCCTTTTAGCAAGTCTCTGACCAGTGACCATTAGTTTCTTATGTGTAAATGAAGGGGTTAGACAAAGTCATCTCTTCAGTCTTTAAACTTTTGTGACTTGAACAAGGCTGGAGCAGCGTGAGATCCTTTATTAGAAAAGTGGTACTGCCACTTTCTCTGTATTCATAGTGGGAAATGGTAGTCAAATAATGTATCTTTATCTTTCCTTTTTGTTCTTCATACAATACTGGTGAGTAAAGAGCCGCTCTTTGCTCACAGCCGTGAACTGTGACAAGATAAATGAAGTTCCAGGTGCATGTTATTTGTAAATCCAAATCTAATATACTGTATTACATTGTCTTAATAGGTACCTGTAGGGCAGCTTGAGAATGAAAGAAAAAGCAGGTCTCTTTGCCTTCTTTTTTTTTTTGCCTTGACACATAAAATTATGGCAGTATCTAGGTATTTCTAAACCTGTAGAGGGATGTTTTTCTAGTCCTTTTCCCCCAGCCAACACTTGCTATAGTGGAGGCCGCATTTTTCATTAGCTTGTCCCATAGCATATTAAATAAATAACAACAAAAAGGTCAATACTGTGTAATGTATTCAGGCTCAGTTACTACCAGTTAAAGCAATACTTACAAACTTAAATCAAAACTCCTTTCTACATATTTAAATAGCATTATTAATTAAAAATGTCCTCTTTTTCTAGAAATAGTACTCAGACTTGGTGCTTTGGTAACCATTCTGCTAGGAAGTTCTGCCACACCACTCATTATCGTGAGATTCCTGAATTGTATGGAAAGGGGGAAAGCTCCTTGGTAACATGGCAGCCTCCACCTTTCTTTGCGAAGACTTCCTGTTTTAATAGGGAAATGGAGAGAGTAAGAGTCTGTTGTTTCCTTTCTCTCTTCTACCTTCCTCTGCCAGGACAAAGACACTGTGAACTCCTATTAGAAGGGGTCTAGATTGGTATATTTGGTATGAATAGCTAGATTCGTTTGGAATGAATAGCTATAATATTTTCTTCAGTATTCTTTACTAAAACATCAGTTATTAAAATAGATTCATGCTTTTAAAAACTGGCCATTTACTTTAGCTCACTTCCTTGGAAAATAAACATGTCTGAACATTTTAATATACTTTCAAATAAATAATGTTTATGTTATAGATACATAAATGAAATCTTAAAAAATAAGTACATAGCACTATATGTTCTTTTTTCACTATGTTGCAATATGCAAAGCTAGTTTCATGGATTATGGCATGGCATTTTTATTTGGTTGGTTTTTGTTTTTGATCACAGTTTTGGATGAATCTCTATGTTTTATATTAAGAATATTGACTCAGGAGTCAGGAGACATAGATTCTATTTTTAGTACTG